GGGAAAGAGGGGAGAAAAGGAAGAAAGGGGAGAAAGAGGAAGAGGTTGGAGAAAAGAATGGAGAAAAAGGGGGAAGAAAGAGGGGAAGAAGGGCAGAGGTAGGGAGAAAGGGAGAAAGAGGGGAGAGAGGAGAAGAAAGAAGAAAGAGGGTGAAGACGGGGAGAGGTAGGAGAGAAGAAGGAGAAAGGGGGAAAGAGGGAGAAGGGGAGAGGTTGGAGAAAGGGAGAAAGAGGGTGAAGAAGGGGAGAGGTAGGAGAAAGGGAGAAAGAGGGAGACGAAGGGGAGAGGTAGGAGAAAGAGGGAGAAGGGGAGAGATTGATAAAGGAGAAAGGGAGAGGAAGAAGGGGAGTGGTAGGAGTGGTAGGAGAAAGGGAGAAAGAGGGAGAAAGGGAGAAAGAGGGGAGAGGTAGCAGAAAGGGAGAAAGAGGGATAAGAAGGGAAAGGTAGGAAAAAGAGGGAGAAGAAGGGAAAGGTAGGAGAAAGAGAGAAAAAAGGGAGAAAATGAGAGAGTGTAGGGGCGAGGTATGAGAGAGAAATGAAAGATTAAATGATAAGGGAGAAAATGAGGGAATGCAGGGGGGAGAAAGAGAGAGAAGGAAACGAATGAGGGATAAAGGAGAAAAAAAGAAAAGGAAAGAGGTAGGAGTAAAGGAGAAAGAAAAGAATGAGAAAAAAGAGAGTAGAAGGGAGAAAATGAGATAATACAGGGGGAGGTAAGAGAAATTGAGAAAGAAAAGAATGAGGGAGAAAGGGAGAAGAAGGGAGAAAACGAGAGAATACAGGGGAGACGAAGGAGAAAGGGAGACAGAAAAGAATGAGGGAGAAGGGAGACAAGGAGAGAATGCAAGATGGAGGTAGGAGAAAGGGAGAAATTAAAGAAATATAGGACGGAAGGTAGGAGAGAGGGAGAAATGGAAGTAGAAGGGAGAAATGAGAGGAATACAAAGGAAAGGAAGGAAAAGGAAGAATATGTGAGAAGGGAGAAATTTAAGGAATACAAGGGGAAGGTAGGAAAAAGGGAGCGAAGGAAGAATGAGGGAGAAGAAAGAAGCGGAAGGAAGAATAATTGAGAAGGGAGAAATTTAAGGAATATAAGGAGAAAGGGGGAAGGGGGAAAACTGAGGGAGAAGGGAAGGGAGGGAGACATAGAAAGGGGAGGTAGGGGAATAGATCGAAAGGGAGGAAAAAGAGAGCGAAGGGAGAAGAAAGGGGGACAGAAAATGGGAAATGGAGGAATTAATGAAAAAGTAGAAAGTAGAAAAGAAGAGAAATGAGAAAAAAAATCGGGGGTGGGGGTGGAGAAAGGGTGAAGGGAGAAGAAGGGTGAAATGGGGAAAAAATAGGAGGAAACAGGAAAAAGGAGAAAAGAAAAGGAATGAAGGAGAATAGAAATAGAAATGGAAAAAAAATATATGGGAGGAACCAGAAGACAGAAGAAAGGGAAATAATTAGGGATGAATTAAAAAATGGGGAAAAATGGAACGAAAGGAATAGAATAAAGAGGAAAAGAAGAAAGGAAATGGAAGAAGACGTAGAATATAAGAAAGAGGGTGATAAGGGTAAAGGCAAAGAAGAGAGAATGGTAGATAATGCGAGGAGAGTTAAAGAAGGAAAGAAAGGGAAAAGCAAAAGGGAGAGAAGTGAAACACGTGAGAAACTGGAAGAAAGGAGGAAAGGGATGAATCAGGGAGGAAGGAAAGAGAGGGAGAGAGAGGAAAGAGTGAGGGAAGAGTTAGACGAAGGGAGAAAACAAGAATGAGGCAGAATTAAAGTGGGAGAAAAACTAAAAGGAAGATGGGAGAAACTGGAAAGAATGTCGGGGACGGGCGAGAGAAGGAAAGAGAGAGAGAGAGAGAGAGAGAGAGAGAGAGAGAGAGAGAGAGAGAGAGAGAGAGAGAGAGAGAGAGAGAGAGAGAGAGAGAGAGAGAGAGAGAGAAAGAGAGACAGACAGACAGACAGACAGACAGACAGACAGACAGACAGACAGACAGACAGACAGACAGAGACGGAGACAGACAGACAGAGACGGAGACAGAGAGAGAGAACAGAGAACAAGAAAGGGAGAAAAGGAAAGAGTAAAAGGAGATAAACGAAGAAAAAAGGAAGAGGACGAAGAAGGGAGAAGTAGAAAAAAAAAGAAAATAAGGAAAAGAAATAGTAACACAAAAAGATGGGAGAAATACGAGGAAGAAAGAAAAAAAAGAAGGGGTTTGCTAGACGAAAAAATAAAAGGAGGGAAATACGAATATAGAACAAAAAGGAATAGAGAAAGTGGAGAATAAGTGCATGATGTAATCGCCGATAAAATCACATTGCGATCAGCAGACGAAATTGAAGGGAAGGAAAAGCAAAATGAGTGAAAAGAGGGAAAGAGGAAGAAAGAAAGAATAAAAAGATAAAAAGGGTTACCACTAATTTCATGAAAATCTGATCCATATGAAAATATACCTCCCCCCCCCAAAAAAAAAAAAAAAAGTACACAAGAAATTAATGCAACAAAATAAAAGCGTCATTTCTTCCTCCCCTTTACCTCTTCCTCCACCTTCCTCGCCCTTCCCTCCCCCCCCACCTTTCCTCTTTACCTCCACCCTTTTCCTTTACCTCTTCCCTTCCTCCTTCTCCCCTTCCCATCCCCTTTCTCCTCCCCCGCCTCCCCTCCCCATACTCCTTTTCCTTACCCCTTCCCTCCCCTTTCCCCTTTCCTCCTTCCTTCCCCCATTCCCCCTTCCTCCTTCTTCCTTCCCCTCCCCCTATTCCCCTTTAACCCCCTTTCCCCTTTCCCCTTTACCCCTTCCCTTCCCTCCCTCCCTTTCCTCTTTACCCCCCACTCTCCCCCCGCCTCTATTGCGCCATCTTCCGGTCGACGGCGCGAGCGGGGAAACGACAGAGCCCCGTAGACGCAGCGGCTTAATTGGCACTGACACCGAAACGGGGGTGAAGGTGGGGGAAGGGGGGATGAGGGGGAGGGGGTGAAGGTGGGGGATAGGGGGGGAGGGGGGAATAGATGACCTAGTCTCATGACCTCATTTGACGAGGGGTGAAGGGCTGACCACGTGACCTCGTCCTCCAAGAAGGGGGCGGTCGGTGAAACGGCGTTGAGGAGCGGGGTGTTGGAAGCGAGGGAGAGAGGGGGTTGGTTGGTCTCTCGGATGGAGGTTTGGTTGGCTCTGGGTGTTGGCAGGGTGTTGTAGGTGATGGTTGCAGGTGTTGGGAGGGTGTTGGTTATGGGTCTCAGCAGGGTGTTGGTTCTAGGTGTTGACAGGTGATGATTCCAGGTGTTGACAGGGTACTGGTTCTGAGTCTCGACAGGGTGTTGGTTCTAGGTGTTGGCAGGTGATGATTCCAGGTGTTGGGAGGGTGTTGGTTCTGAGTCTCGGTAAGGTGTTGGTTTTCTAGGTGTTGTAGGTGATGGTTCCGGGTGTTAGTTCTAGGCGTTGACAGGGTGTTGTAGTTGATAGTTCCAGGTTGGCATGGTATTCTGAGTGTCGGCAGGGTGTAGGTTCTGGGCGTTGGCAGGGTTTGGGTTCCAGGTGTTGGCAGGGTGTTGGTTTTGAGTCTCGGCAGGGTGATGGTTCTAGATGTTGGCAGGGTGTAGGTTCTGGGTGTTGGCAGGGTGATGGTTCTAGGTGTTGGCAGGGTTTGGGTTCCAGGTGTTGGCATAGTGTTGGCAGAGTGTTGGTTCTAGGTGTTGGCAGAGTGTAGGTTCTGGGTGTTGGCAGGATGATGGTTCTAGGTGTTGACAGGATGATGGTTCTAGGTGTTGGCAGAGTGTAGGTTCTAGGTGTTGGCAGGGTGATGGTTCTAGGTGTTGGCAGGGTGATGGTTCTAGGTATTGGCAGTGTTGGTTCTAAGTGTTGGCAGGGTGTAAGTTCTGGGTGTTGGCAGGGTGATGGTTCTAGGTGTTGGCAGGGTGGTGGTTCCAGGTGTTGGCAGTGTTGGTTCTAAGTGTTGGCAGGGTGTAAGTTCTGGGTGTTGGCAGGGTGATGGTTCTAGGTGTTGGCAGGGTGTTGGTTCTTAGTGTTGGTAGGGTGTTGGTTTTGAGTGTAGACAAGGTGATGCTTCTAGGTGTTGGCAGGGTGTTGGTTTTGAGTGTTGGTTTTGAGTGTTGGCAGGGTGTTGGTTTTGAGTGTTGGCAGGGTGATGGTGTTAGGTGTTGGTACTAGGTATTGGCAGGGTGTTGTTTCCAGGTGTTGGCAGGGTGTTAGTTACACGTGTTGGCAGGGTTTTGGTTCCATGTGTTGGCAGGGTGTTGGTTCTAGGTGTTGGCAGGGTGCTGGTTCCAGGTGTTGGTTCTCGGTGTTGGCAGGGTGATGGTTCCAGGTGTTGGCAAGGTGTTGGTTCTAGGTGTTGGCAGGGTGCTGGTTCTAGGTGTTGGCAGGGTGTTGGTTCTGGCAGGGTGATGGTCACGGGCGTTGGCAGTGATGGCGTTGGCAGGGTGATGGCCACAGGCGTTGGCAGGGTGTTGGTTCTAAAGTGTTGGCAGGGTGTTGGTTCTAAGTGTTTGGCAGGGTGTTAGTTCCAGGTGTTGGCAGGGTGCTGGTTCCAGGTGTTGGTTCTGAGTGTCTACAGGGTGTTGGTTCTCGGTGTTGTTTCTGGACGTTGGCAGGGTGATGGTTCGAGGTGTTGGCAGGGTGTTGGTTCTAAGTGTTGGCAGGGTGTTGGTTCCAGGTATTGGCAGGGTGTTGGTTCTCGGTGTTGGCAGGGTGATGGTTCCAGGTGTTGGCAGGGTGTTGGTTCTAAGTGTTGGCAGGGTGCTGGTTCCAGGTGTTGGCAGGGTGCTGGTTCCAGGTGCTGACAGGGTGTTGGTTCTGAGTGTCTGCAGGGTGTTGGTTCTCTTTGTCGTTTCTGGACGTTGGCAGGGTGATGGTTCGAGGTGTTGGCAGGGTATTGGTTCTAAGTGTTGGCAGAGTGCTGGTCCCAGGTGTTGGCAGGGTGTTGGTTATCGGTGTTAGTTCTGGACGTTGGCAGGGTGTTGGTTTTAGGTGTTGACAGGGTGTTGGTTTTAGGTGTTGGCAGGGTGTTGGTTCTAGGTGTTGGCAGGGTGTTGGTTCTAGGTGTTGGCAGGGTTTTGGTTCTAGGTGTTGGCAGTTTGTTTCCAGGTGTTGGCAGGGTGTTGTTTCCAGGTGTTGGCAGGGTGTTGGTTCTAGGTGTTGACAGGGTGTTGGTTCTAGTTGTTGGCAGGGTGTTGGTTCTAGGTGATGGCAGGGTGTTGTTTCCAGGTGTTGGTTCTAGGTGTTGGCAGGGTGTTGTTTCCAGGTGTTGGTTCTAGGTGTTGGCAGGGTGTTGTTTCCAGGTGTTGGCAAGGTGTTTCCAGGTGCTGGCATGGTGCTGGTTTTGAGTGTTGGCAGGGTTTTGGATCTAGTTGTTGGTTCTGATTGTTGTTAGGGTGTTGGCTCCAGATGTTGGCAGGGTGTTGTTTCCAGGTGTTGGCAGGATGTTGGTAGGGTGTTGGCAGAGAGTTCGTTGTTAGTTTTCGGTGTTGGCAGGGTGTGGGTTCCAGGTGTTGGCAGGGTGTTGGTTCCAGGTGTTGGCAGGGTGTTGATTCCAGGTGTTGGCAGGGTGTTGCTCCAGGTGATGGCAGGGTGTTAATTCTTAGTATTGGCAGGGTGTTGGCTCTTGGGGTTGGTTCCAGTTGTTGGCAGAGTGTTGGTTCCAGGTGTTGGCAGGGTGTTGCTTTTAGGTGTTGGCAAGGTGTTGGCTCCAGTGTGCAGGCTGGGCTCCAGGTGTTGCTCCAGGTGATGGCAGGGTGTTAATTCTCGGTATTGGCAGGGTGTTCCAGATGTTGGCAGAGTGTTGGTTCTAAGTGTTGGCATGGTGTTGTCTGTAGGTGTTGGCAGGATGTTGGTTCTGAATGTTGGCAGGGTGATGGTCCTATTTGCAGAGTTGATTCTACGTGTTGGCAGGGTATAGGTTCTAGGTTTGCAGGGTTTTGGGTTCCAGGTGTTGACAGGTGTTGGTTCTAGGTGTTTGGCAGGGTTTGGGTTCCAGGTGTTGGCAGGGTATAGGTTCTAGGTGTTGGCAGGGTTTGGGTTCCAGGTGTTGGCAGGATGTTGTTCTAGGTGTTGGTTCTAAGTGTTGGCAGGGTTTGGGTTCCAGGTGTTGGCAGAGTGTTGGTTCTAGGTGTTGGTATAGTGTTGGTTTCTAGGTGTTGGCAGGGTGTTGTTCTAAGTGTTGGCAGGGTGTTGGTTCAAGGCGTTGACAGGGTGTTGTAGTTGATAGTCCCAGGTGTTGGCAGAGTGTTGTAGGGTGATGGTTCTGTTCGCATCGTTGGTTCTAAGTTTAGGCAGGGGGTTGGTTCTGAATGTTGGCAGGATGCTAGTCCTGTTCGCAGAGTTGATTCTAGGTGTTGGCAGGGTTTGGGTTCCAGGTGTTGGCAGGAAGTTGGTTCTAGTGTTGGGGTGTTTGCTTCCAGGTGCTGGCAGGGTTTGGGTTCCAGGTGTTGGCAGGGTTTGGGTTCCAGGTGTTGGCAGGGTTTGGGTTCCAGGTGTTGAGAGTGTTTATATTCCAGGTGTTGGCAGGGTGTTGCTTCTAAGTGTTGGCAGGGTGTAGGCTCCGGGTGTTGAATCTAGGAGTTAGTTTTTGAGGGTTGTGTTCGTGTTTATTGAAGTGAATTTATCCTCTTTTTTTCCCCGAGCGAAAGAAAATGACTGTTGTTTGCTTATAATGTTTGCTTTCTGTCGTTTTTTTTTCCTTTCTCTCAATGCCACTTCCTTTTTCGTTCGTTTTTTCCCTTCGACGTTATTTCTTCTGTATCCAGAGAGCTTTATTATTTTTTTATCTTATTCTCCAACCTCTCCTCTTCTTCTTCGTCTTTTACAGCGCTTACTCTTCCTCCTTATTATTAATTTTATCTGCATTCCCTTTTCTTTCTGTGTATTTCCTATACCCTGTTATTCCAATCGTCGTTTTCTTTTTCATTTATTCCCCTTCGGTTTCTCTTTTTCTCTCTATTCCTTTGCCCGTATTCTTTCTAGTTCTCTTTTTTTTTTTCCTCTCTCTCTCCTTCACCTAATCTTTCATTGTATTTTTTATTAATATTATTTCCATCGTCTTTCTCTCCATCTCTCTTTCCCCTCCAAGTTCTCTTTTTTTCTCTCTCTCTTCTTTCTAAACTCTTTGCAATATCATGCTTTTGTATCAAGAGCCGTGCAATCAAGGAAACCGAGAACCTCCTAAGAAAGCAAAGTAATGGCCGGGTTTTACGCGTCTAAGTGCCAGGCGAATGATTTAATAAACAACAAAAATACTCTCTGAATTCCAGACTGACTTCGCTGTTTGCTGCTCTTCAAAAGCTGCTTGGTCAATATTTTCTTCGTTCTTTTTTTTTTATTCTTTTGATCAATGTAATTTTTTTCTCTCTCTCTCTCACGAGAAACGCAACATAAATCCATGATACAGTATAATGAATATTTTTTCCGCCTCGTGGAACGCTGCAATGAACAGTGTATCACGCTGACCCCGCTTTATGAATAATAGCTCATGTTAGCAACGCTGTTAACAGTGTTTCATGTTAGCAACAGGGTTATGAACATCGTCTTATGAACGGCCTTAAATGACCCAGACGTTTAACCAATTATGTTATGCTCGTTGTGAGGGAATGGCGTAGTTCTGAACTACGGTGGTACAGGGATAAATGTATTTTAATAATTTCAGCGCGGCCTCATCAGGGAAAGGTAGTAGCCATTAAAATAACTGACAGCGTTTCATGACTTTCCCCCCAAATTATATTCTTTGACAGCGGTTTGCGATCATTCCGCAAACACACACAAACAACTGATACCTCCCAACGCTAATGTTTATCACAACCTGTACCTCAGACGTATAATAATGGCCTGGAAATGAACTTCGTGACCTTGTCCGACCCTCAAACTTAGCAAGAATGCGGAAGGGGGTGCGTTGGGTCGCTGGGGATGGGGGGGGGTGTATGGGGGGGGGGAGGGAGAGGGGGATAACCTTCAACTTCTACGCCGATGGACTTGCGTGATGGAGGAGTACAACAGCACATGCGAGACCTCAGGTTCGGGGAGGAGACTCGCTCGAAGGAACGGCTGGGTGTCCGGGGATTGGCTGGTTGTAGAAGGTGGGGGGGGGGGGGGGGGTTGGCAGAGACTGAAATAGGGGGGGATTTGGGGGAAATAGGGAAAGGGACTGGGAGACAGGCGTGAGGAAGAGAGGATCAGGAATAGGGCGATACGGAAGATCTAGGGAGGAAAGAAAGGAATGGAGAAGAGAACAGGGAAGATCTGCGGAATAAATAAATAAATGGAGAAGGAAAAAAAAGATATCTAACAAGGGGAAGATATATCGAGAGAAAGAGATATGTCATTTTCAGGGAAGAAATAAACGGAGGAAAGAGACAGGGAAATCAGGAAAGGAAAGAAAAAAAAAGGAGCAGAGAAACAAACGATAGGGAACGAGATGGAGATAGGGAGAGAGAGATTTAAAAAGTCTGGGGAGAAAGAGTTAAAAAAGAAAGAGATAGAAGAAAAATCGTATGGATTTAAGGAGAAACCAAGATTATAGAGAAAAATTGGGGGAAGAGAGAAAGAGGCAGAGAAGATCAAGAAAGAAAAGGAAGTCATAGAAAGAAGGATATAGAAAATCAGGAAAATACAAGGAAAGAACTAGGGAAAAATCTGTGGAGAAAAAAAGACGAGGAGAGAAATAAAGGGAAATCTACGTGACCAAGATAAGGATAGAAACATCCACAGATACTAATACAAAAAGAAAGACAGAGATAAAGATGGATTAGTTGACAGACAGGTAATTACGTAAACATATCGATAAGTAGAGGGAATGGCATAAGCTCAAGAAGACCAATCGATAAAGTTATAGGTAGAAAAGTGAATAGATATATGGATCGATCGCGAGAAATAGATAGTGAAAGACAAATGCACTGAATATATATACCGATAGAGAGAAAAGAAATACGTACACATTACTAGAAAATGTATGTATTTGAAATAATCACATCAAGTCAAAAAATTTCAGTTAACGAAGCCGGAACAAAGATAAGATCTATAACATTACAGGAAGTAACGGTGTCTCAGTCGGCTAAAGTGAAGCGAAAGATATATATATATATATATATATATATATATATATATATATATATATATATATATATATATATATATAGAGAGAGAGAGAGAGAGAGAGAGAGAGAGAGAGAGAGAGAGAGAAGAGAGAGAGAGAGAGAGAGAGAGAAAGAAGAAAGGGAGAAAGAAAAAAAGAGAGAGTGAGAGTGAGTAAGTAAGTAAGTAAGTAAGTAAGTAATTAAGTGAGTGAGTGAGTAAGTGAGTGAGTGAGTGAGAGAAGATCTGATGAAAGCGAAATAGAATTATACACAAAGAGGAGAGAAATCTGATGAAAGCGAGATAGAATTATACACAGCGAGGGGGAGAAACACGAATGTTATCCCGACCATTTTTTCTCCCAGTCTCCGCCAAATCAAAAATACCCAAGTTCCGACGCTAAAACACAAAATTCCCCGTTCGAATCGAGACACGTTATTTTTTTTTCCGACGTGACGTAAACATGTTATTGCGATGCCAGCCGCGATGACGTCATTCGAGAGATACGAACATAGTTAATGATTTCCTTTAGTCGCTAGTGCGTGTGAGCGTGTCATAGCGTGCATGGAGAGTGAGGTCCGTGGTCCTTGTTACTAGTATGAGCTAGTATGATGAGTGAGTGAAAGGGAGACGATGTTGTAGTATAAGGTTCCTTGTTGGGAAGAACCTGGTATTTGGAGCGGGAAAGTTTTGTTATTGTTATCATTGCCATTATTATTAATGTTATTTTTATTATCATTTTTATTATTGTTATCATCCTCATCGTTATTATTATTATTATTGTTATTATTATCATTATTTTCATTATTATTATTATTATTATTATTATTATTATTATTATTATTATTATTATCGTTATTACTACTGTCATCGTTATCATCACCATTATCATTTTTATTATTATCTTCCTTCTCCTCCGCCTGTACATCATCATTTATCATCATCAATTCATTTACCTATGATTTATATCGCTATATATTGGCCGTAATTCTTGTTAATTGATTCATTCTTGTCACTTTTATTGTTTTGCATTTTTATTCGTCTTGTTATTTGAACGAAAGACTTGACTGTATCCTAATTAGTTCGAGAATTTCGTAAAATCTCGTATTTGCTGAGATTTCAAAGCATGTGGGATTAATTATCATTGGTGTTGTTTCCGTTGTGATTAATATCGTCATCACCACCCCCACCATTATCACTATCAATACCACTATCACCATCACCATCACCACCACATATCACACCATCAC